CTTTTGGTTAGCAGCCGAATGCTTAACCACTGTGCCACCAGGGATACTCCTCCAAAATCAGCCATTGAAAACTCTATGGAGTACAGTTCCACTCTGCACATATGGGGTCACTATGAGTCAGAGTCAACTCAGTGACAACTTTTTTTTGGTCTTTTTCTTATTTATTTGCCAAGCTCTTTATATATTAAGGATATTAACTAAAGTGATATGAATTACTTATTATTATTATAATTATTGATTATTATTATTCCTCCAGGAAAGACTGTGGAGACTAGAGAATCTTCCTCCCAGACTCGAGACCACAGTCGACTCCACAGAGAAACGGAAAATCTAGACTGTATGTTTGCCTTCCCTCATCTTCTGGGCAAAGCCAAATGGGAGGTGGAGTCCAGCAGTGGGTGGGACAGGAGAAGTTGTTGCTCAGCTCACATGGCACAATGGCTCAAGTCACAGTTGAAATCTACATGGAAGTAGTGATTTTACGCATGAACACACACACACGTGCTTAGTTCAGTCTGTTCCAAGCTGTGAGGGCTTTCAGTTGCTTCCCAACTCTCAGGAAGGCTCTGGGCTGGTTCTACGGAGAGTTCCCAAAAGGTGGGAAGGGTCCTGTCTGGCTCCAGAGTGGGGCATGAGAAGGTTTAGGGCTTGATCAGATTCCATTTGTAAATTTCAGAGACATCTTAAATTGGCAACTATTCTAGAGTATAGCGGTCTCTGGACAGAGCAGGAGGCTTAGAGAAATTTCCATCCTGGGCCTCCCTAAAGACCCTGGGATGTCTGAGAGCCTTGTGTCCTGCACCTTCCACTGGCCTTGGGTGTTTGGGAAGAGTATCCCAAAGATCCCAGTCTCTCCTGGTTCCCCAAGTCCAAGCCAGCGCCTGGGGAGAGGGCAGGCCTTGATGGTGCTGGGGTGGAAAGGGTGGAAATTGCTCATGCCTTCACCTATGTGTGCCTCCTAGACAGAGAGATGGACTTCCATGAGCAAGACGGGAAGGCTGGACTCTTTTCTCAAGAACAAAATGAGAAAGCCAAGTCTTCCTCCTCCTCCTCTTCCTCCTCTTCCTCCTCCTCATCCTCCTCATCCTCCTCCTCAGGTATAGCAATATTTTTTTATTGTTGTAAAAATATATATAAGACATTTGCCAATTCAACATTTTTCACGTGTGCAATTTAGTTTATCAATCACGTTAATCATGTTGTACAACTGTCGCCTATAATCGTTGCCAAATTTTCCATCACCATAAACAGAAACTCACTGCTCCCTAAACAATAATTCCCTCTTTCCCTCTCTCTCCCACCCCTGGTAACCACTAATAACATCTCGGTGTACAGGGCAACAAGAGTTGGTCCTGGATAGAATGGGAGAAGAATATGGAGCAGAACACAAATTCTTATTTAAAAACAAAACAAAACAAAACCAGACAAACTGGAACAGTAGAGAACAGAGGACTCCCTGAGACTGTTGCCCTGAGACACTTTTTAAACCTTGAACTGAGCCTGTCCCCTGAGATCACCTTTTAGCAAAATAGTAGCGTGGCACACAAAAAAAGGTTATTACCTGTAAGATCAGTTCCCTACTTAAAAAACTATCAGTATGAGACCAAAATGTCAACAATTTCTCAAAAGCAAAGATGAGAAGATAAGGGGGCAGGGAAACTAGAGTACTGGAAAGGGAATAAACTGAACACAATTAAGGAGAATGTTGGCACACTATGATAAACGTAACTAATGTCACTGTAGGACCCTGATGGTGCAGTGGCTAAGTGCTCGGCTGCTAATCGATAGGTCAGAGGTTCAAACCCACCAGCCGCTCCTCGGGAGAAAGATATGGCAGTCTGCTTCTGTAAAGATTTATAGCCTTGGGGCAAGGTCATGGAAGCTCCATAGACACATCCAAACTCCCTGAGAGACCGAATTAGTGGGCTTAGGTCTGTGGGGACCATGGTCTCAGGGAACATCTAGCTCAATTGGCATAACACAGTTTATAAAGACAATGTTCTACATTCTACTTTGGTGAGTAGTGTCTGGGGTCTTAACAGCTTGTGAGTGGCCATCTAAGATACTCCACTGGTCTCACCCTGTCAGGAGCAAGCGAGAATGAAAAAAACCAAAGACACAAGGGAAAGATTAGTCCAAAGGACTAATGGACCACAACTACCACAGCCTCCACCAGACTGAGTCCAGCACATCTAGATGGTGCCCAGCTACCACCACTGGCTGCTCTGACAGGGATCACAACAGCGGGTCCCGGACAGAGCTAGAGAAAAAATGTAGAACAAAATTTTAACTCACAAAAAAAGACCAGACTTACTGGTCTGACAGAGACTGGAGAAACCCAGAGAATATGGCCCCCAGACACCCTTTTAGCTCAGTATTGAAGTCACTCCTGAGGTTCACTGTTCAGCCAAAGACTAGACAGGCCCATAAAACAAAATGAGACTATTGGGGCACAACAGCTCAGGGACAAAGACTAGAAGGCAGGAGGGAACAGGAAAGCTGATAATAGGGAACCCAAGGTCGAGAAGGGAGAGTGTTGACATGTCGTGGGGTTGGTAACCAAATGTCACAAAACAATATATGTACTAACTGTTTAATGAGAAGCTAGTTTGTTCTGTAAACTTTCATCTAAAGTACAATTTAAAAAAAAATTACAGCTTTGGAAACCGTGTGGGGCAGTTCTACTCTGTCCTATAGGGTTGCTGTTAGTCGGAATCGACTTGAAACCAACAGGTTTGGTTTAATGTCACTGAACAATCTGTATGGATATTATCAAAGGGGAACCTAACTTGCTGTGCAAACTTCCACCAAAAATACAATAAAATGTTATTTTAAAAAAAAGAGCACAAAAACAAAACAAAAAACTGTGGTCTAGGTATTGCAAATATATATATGTATTTATATAGTTGTCGTTAGGTGCTGTTGAGTCAATTCTGACTAGTAGCCACCCCATATGACAGAGTAGAACTGCCCACATAGGGTTTTCTAGGCTGTAATCCTTACAGAGGAGATTGCCAGTTCTTTCTCCTGTGGAACCGCTGAGTGGGTTAGAACCATCAACCTTTCCCTTAGTAGCCAAGCGCTTAACCATTGCACAACCAGGGTTTATATATATAGCTATCACAATATCATTCCAAAAATTTACATGCAAAAACAATTCCCCATAATCCCCTGCCTTGATGCTTCAATTTTTTTGCTCATTCCTTTCTAGAGCCTATCTACTGTACATATAATTTGTACACAGTTGCAATCTGATCATATAGACAATTTTGTCCTCTGCTTAAAAAGTTTTATATCTTACCATAAGCATTTTGTCATTATTCTGTAATATCCTTGTAGCTGTTTTTAATGTTTGCTGAATAGCCCTCAAGTAGCAGCATCTCTTCTATCCTAACATTTAGGTTTATAGGGACACACTAGTGCTGTGGTCAATACATAGATTCAGTCAAGCCGACTGCCTAGGTTCAAATTTATCTTTGCTGCTAGCTAGCTGTGTGTCCAAGGATAAATTGCTTAACCTTTCTGTGCCTCAGTGTCCTCATGTCTCAAATGGGGATGATCACAAGTGTTATTACTGCATAGGATTATTGTGAGGATGAATTTTTCATACATATGATGTCTTAGAACAGAAACTACGACATAGTAAAAGCTCTAAAAATAACTATTATTATTAAGATTTCCTCCCTCCCTCCCCATTTTATGGTTCTTATCAAATGAGATTCTCATAAAATGTGCAAAAGCTTTTACTTTTTGTACAAATCATATCCTTAGTATAAATTTCCCACAAGTACTTTAGTGGGTTTAGAGGAACGAGTGCCCCTAATAGGGTCTTGATTACAAATTACCACATTATTCTCCAAAAAAACAGTAGAATATTCTTTAATTTTTATTCTTTTAATTCAAAATACGGGGCTGAATTTATAGCATCATCATCATCAACAACATCATAGCTAGTATTTATTGAGCACTTACTATGTGCCAGGTACTGTTCCAAGCACTGTACATGTAATAACTCGTTTAATTCTCATGGCAACCCACTGAGGAAGGTACTACTATTATTCCCATTTTACAGGTGAGGAAACTGAGGCACAGAGAGGCCAACTGACCTGCTGTAAAAGGGCTCAATAACCTAGGATTCCCTGAAGGCCTTTCTGGAATCAGGGGGACTAGGGAATGTGGGCTCGGTGACCAGAGCTCCTTCACTGTGATCGGTTTTACATTGTGGACTTGGACTTAAGGTTTTATTTGATGAAACGGTTCCCATGGCTAATAACAAAACGCTTGTAAAGCACTGTCTTAATTTAATGTCCTCGTTTTGCAAACAAGGAGTGAGGCTCAGGGAGAAAGACCAGAAAGGCACAGATATCTGTTGCCATTGAGTCAATTCTGACTCATAGCAACCCTACAGTTCAGAGTAGAACTGCCCCATAGGGTTTCTAAGGAGCTGCTGGTGGATTCGAACTACCGACCTTTTGGTTAGCAGCCAAGCTCTTAACCACTGGTCCACCAGGGCTCAGAAAGGCACAGAATGAATGATTATTTCAGCAGAGGAGGGAGAGTAGTTAGTGGGCACTGTAGGTTGGTTTGCAGCCACTCTCCTCACGGGACTGGAAAGGAAACCACTGCACTTATTTTAAAACAAAACAGAAACAACCGTGCCACCTACAAGGTTTAATTCTGGAAGAACTCCCAGGAGCAGAGGGGCTGTTTGTGACCTGTCCCTGGGTTTCTCCTCCCTGGGTGGGAAGGGATGTTCTGTCTTCTGAATCTGGTTGACCCTCAGGAAGCGCAGCTCGTCTACAAATGTTCTCCCTCAAGGGTGGTGGCTGGCCCTAAACCCCTTCCCTGAGGTCTCTGCCCCAGGCATGGGACTGGCTGTAATTTCCCCCAAGTGCACACTACGGGAAGTCCAGAGAGTCCTAGAGGAAATAGGAAAACAGAGAGCCCTAGAAGCCCAGAGACAGAGTGACATTCAGGATACTGGTCCCCAATCCACTCTGGCTGGTCTGCTGCTAGAATCAGACCCATCCCTCCTCCAGGCTGATGGTGATCCCTAGCTCTAAAGGCCTGAACCTGGGGGCCCCACTCTGAAGCCCCCAGCCTGCCTCCACACACAGGACCCCAACTCATAGTCTGGAATCCAGCCACTCCCTCCTTACATATCTTTGTGGTTTTAAGGTATCCTGTTATTTTTAAATTAAGTTTTATTGGTTTTTTCAATTGTAAAAGATTATACATAGGCACATAAGGAGCGCTGGTGGCGCAGTAGTTAAAGTGCTTGACTGCTAACCAAAAGGTCAGCCGTTCAAAACCACCAGTGGCTCCTCAGGAGAAAGATGTGGCAGTCGGCTCCCATAGAGATTTACAGCCTTGGAAACCCTATGGGGTCACTATGAGTCAGAATCGACTCCACAGCAGTGGGTTATATGTAGGCACATTGTAGGAAAAAAAAAAAAAAATATATATATATATATATATATAAACCTTTTGCAGTTGAACTGATTTCTACCCATAGTGACTCCATGTGTTGCATAGTAGAACTGTGCTCCACAGGGTATACTTGGCTGTAAACCCAGAGGCACCTTGGAAGACAGGCCTGGTGATCTCTGCTTCCTAAAGGTCACAGCCTTGAAAACTCAATGGAGCAGTTTTACTCTGCACACATGGGGTTGCCATGAGTTGGCATTGACTCGTTGGCAACTAACAACAACAACAGTCTTTACGGAAACAGATCACCAGGCGTTTCTTCCTTGGAGCTGCTAGGTAGGTTCAAACTGCCAACCTGTAGATGAGCAGCCAATTGCAAACAGCTTGTACCACCCAGGCTCCTTGTAGGAAATATAAGGCATATATTTAAAAAAATCTGTTGCCATCAAGTCAATTCCAACTCATGGCCACCCCCTGTGTTTCAGAGTAGGGTTTTCAATGGCTACGACAGAGAAGTAGAAAGAAAAAAATCACCTTTAATCCATTACCTAGAGATAACCACCAAAAACATATTAGTGTATCCCCTACATGTATTCAATAAACTGGGGACACTAGTAACAAATAATGAGTCCTTCTGCCCATTGAGCTGTGGTAGCACAGTGGTTAAGAACTCTGCTGTTAACCAAAAGGTCAGCAGTTCAAATCCACCAGCTGTTCCTTGGAAACCCTATGGGGGCAGTTCTATTCTATCTTAGGGTTACCATGAATCAGAATCAACTCAACGACAACCGGTTTGGTTTTTTTGTTTTGGTTTTCTGCCCGTAGTTAATTTTTTCAAAAGTTGGGTTAGAGAGCATTTACAAAAATTGCCCTCATTTTAAACAGCACATATAATACCTTTTATATAAATTATATGTTATGAGTCTGTTGTAGAGAAAGCTAAAATAACGTTCATTCATACATTGATGGAGATTGTCCCAGGCTGATGGAGTTTGGGGGATTTTTGCTTTATTTATTTTCCGTGCTGTTTGATTTTTTGCAACAGGTATTATCTTTGTAGTAATGAAAATGTCTTTTTTTCTTTTTCGTTTTTATTATTGACTGTAAAACATAGAAGAGAAGGATATAGAAGTGACTCAAAATCTTATCTCCTAGAGATAAATACCACTGTTGTCATTTTGGTGTCCTTCCTGATACTGCCTTGTATCTAGTTGAGATCGCATATGCCCTGATTTTTAACCACAGTCAACTTGATTTTCTGGATTTGTAAAAATTATCCATGGTTGACCAGGAGGTCCCCAAGCAAACCGAGGGACAGCCCAGCCCTGCTGGGGCCATCTTGGCCATCTTGTGGAAAGGGCATCCTCTGGACCTGGGGCCAGAAACTCCTGGGCCCGGAATGCTGACTGGCCCAAGAGTGTAAAAGACCCGGTAATTGTTCAGGACTTTATCAAGCTCCCTCAAGGCTGGGCACCCTTGGAAGAGTAGAGGACTCAGGCCTTGTCCTTCAGGTACTCAAGATAGTTAGAGAGATGAGCATCCGAGGGCCTCTGACCCTTAAGCCCAGTGTGTTAAGCACAGCCAGTTATCCTGTAGAAACCCCAGAGGAGGGGGCAAGATCATTGTGAGTTGGGACAGTTGGAAAAGGCTTTCTACAGGAGATGTAACCTCAGCTTAACTTTAAACCTCAGTAATATGATACCTTATACGACCTTGGGGTCCTTGAGTGGCACAAATGGTTAAGCTCCCAGCTACTAACTGAAAGGCTGGAGGTTCTAGTCCACCCAGAGGTGCCTCATAAGAAAGGCCTAGTGATCTGCTTCTGAAAGGTGACAGCCTTGAAAACCCTATGGAGCACAGTTCTACTCTGCAACACCAGGGGTCGCCACGAGCCAGAATTGACTTGATGGCAGCTGTTTTTTTTTTTTTTTTATATCACCTTGTCTTATCTTCATGAAAGCATTATGAAGTAGACAAGACACCAACAGAAATATTAAGTAGACAAAAGCCAACAAAAATATTTCGTGATTTGTCACACAGTGGCAGGTCTCCTACCCTAGCACCACCCCCTCGCAGAGCTCTTTCCTCCAAACCACACCCCTCACCTGAACTAAATGCTGAGATGCACTGGTCAGAACGAACATATTCCCAGCTCGTTCCAGGCTGAGGTTCTCCTACAGCTTGTGTTTGTTCCCTGAAGAAAGCCGTGACGAGGACCAGCACCCCAGAGTAACCAGAAAACGTCGACAGAGCCCAGGGGCAGGACAATCCCACAGGAACAGCTCACCTGGTAGGGGATAAAAAAACAAACAAACAAACAAAAAACCCATTGCCGTTGAGTGAATTCCAACTCATAGCAACCCTACAGGATAGAGTAGAACTGCCCTATAGGGTTTCCAAGGAGCAGCTGGTAGATTCAAATTGCTGACTTTTTGGTTAGCAGCCAAACTCTTAACCACTATGCCATGAGGGCTCCTGGTAGGGGATAGGCCTGACCATTTCTCTTTTGCTCAATCAGCTCACCGCTGAGTTCCTCAGTAGGACAGAGCACGTCTATGTGAAGATGTTCCCTCACATTATTGTTTATTGAAACAAACCAACCAACCCATTGCCGTCGAGTCAATTCCGACTCATAGGGACGCTATAGGACAGAGTAGAACTGCCCCAATAGGGTTTCCAAGGAGTGGCCGGTGGATTCGAACTGCTGACCATTTTGGTTAGCAGCTGAACTCTTAACCACTATGCTACCAGGGTTTCCTTGTTGTTTATAGTAGGGCAGAAATAGGAAGTAACCTAAATGTCCAACGACAAGGAATTAGTTAGACTCGTGATGCAACAGCCTACCCAGGTTATAGCTCCATTCTTCACACATCTGTGAAGTGAAACAGAAAGACAGCAAATTACAGAATTAATTTAATCTCGTTTATGTTTTGTAAAAACCCACACATACATGGTTATAAACAAAACTAGAAGGGAAAGCATCCAAAAGTGATTCTCTCTGGATGGTGAAATTATGAATGACCTGTACTTTCTTTTTTTGAACTTTCCTATACTATAAATATTTTATAATAAGCACATTTTATTTTATATTTAACAGACTTGTTTCTTAGAGCACTTTTAGGTTTACAGAAAAATTGTGCAGAAAGTAGAAAGGTTTCCCATTTACCTCCCCCCACCGCACATACTGTTTCTTCTGTTAACATTTTGCCTTTCTCTGCTACATTTGTTACAGTTTATGAACCAATTATTATTACTAACTAAATTATTATTTATCAATTATTATTGACTAAAGTCTATAGCTTACATTAGCGTATTTTATTTTATAATCAGAAGAAGGTGATTTTTTTTTCTCTGCACCCTATTGAGCACAACTTACTCTGCAACGTGGAATTGCCATGAGTTGGAATAGACGGGACTGCAATGGGCTTTTTTTTTTTTTTTAATGTCTAGTACAGACCTTGGCACACATGAGATGCTTAATAAATGCTTCCATGAAGCTGGAGTTGAGTTCAATGTAGGCTTTGGAGATAGACCTGGGTTTGAATCTTGGAATTACCACTTACAGGCTGTGTGACCTTGGGAGTATAATTTAAGTTTTTGAGCTTCAGTTTCCTTATATGTAAAATGGACAGGGAGTGGTAGTGATACCTTGTTCATAGGATTTCCGTGAGGATCAAATGAAATATTAAACGTAAATTATTTAGTACAGCGTCACTATGAGTTGGAATCAACTGGACGGCAATTGGTTTGGTTTTTTGGTTTTAGTACAGGGTTGGTACATTATGAGTACTCAATAAATGGCAACTATTATTACTGACTTTGAATAAGGCCCAGGCCCTCTCAGGTCCCAATTCTAAGTAAACTGAAGACTTTTACCTCTGGGGGCTCTAGAGGGAGTCAATGTAAAACGAAAGCACTTGTAGGGCTGTCTTGCCTCTTGAAGACGCCTCACTCCACCTCCCCCACCCCCATGCAGAGGGCCTGTGTTACCTTTTAAGGCTTCAGACGTGTGGGACATTGAGGCTGCCCTGGGTCACTGTGACTGGGGGGTGCTGACTAAAGGGGTTTATGTCTCTACTAGGTGCCGAGCATGGAAAGCCTGACATTTCGAAGGATGAGCTTCAACTCTATGAAGGTAATCAGTTGCTCAGTGGCTTTAGAGAAAACAGAATTAGACCAAGGACATGCGGGTTTAGGACTTTTTGGAGTGGAAATAAGGTCATAAGGATATCCTATAAACTGAAAAGTACTAGGCAAATATAAGACATGTGACAAAGTTAGTGTTATAACATTGGCTGATGGGGATGGAGACGCAAGCCTTTTCTACCATGGTGATGTCTCAGGGAAATCTTGCAACCTCTTCCAAGCTGTAACGGTGACTTGTGGGGTGACCTTGATCAGTTACCTAGTCTTTCCAGGTGTCAGCTACCCAACCAGCAAAAAAGGACATAATCAGTGCATACTCTCTTGGAATACTAAGCAGTTTATACATGCTAGGGGAAATTCAGGATCTGATCTCTGCAAAACTCATTTTATGGAATAATTGTTTCCAAGTGCCATCATTATTATAGTGAAGCAGTATAAATATTATGGCACTTTGCTTGGTAGAACTATGATGAAATGGGGGAGTTTGCAGGGAGTAAGCCAGTTTGCAAAACAGCCTGACAAATACACACTGCCAGATTAAAAGAGAAGCCTATTTAACTTTATTTAATCCAACCTTTCCAAAATCTACTTAGTCTTCTCACACCTGGTAATAACCCAAGAAAAATGACAGAAAAAAAATACATATATATTTTTATACATATATCTATATTCGAAGAAAAATGACTCACATGTTATGCATAAAAATACAACCAGTGGGTTGCCTCCAGGTGGTAATACTGTGGGTAATAGATTTATTATTTTATTTGCTTATATGAATTTTCTGATTTGGGTGTTTTTTTGTTTTGGTTTTGGTTTAGAAAAATATTTTTAACTACTCAAGTAGTTTAAGAAAGTTTTCACTGGTATATAAAAAAAGAGAGGAACTGTAATGTTGACACAGATTTATTTTTTTCTCATAATGTAAGTAATTCATATTCACCATAGAAAATGTAAGTATAATTACTTACTTGTAAATTACTTCCCCCAAGACATTGGAGGTATTTAGTAAATTATATTTTTAAGTCCCATTTCATGCTGTTCTGGGTGTGTTCTCTGCACCTTTGGAACTGACCACTATTTGGTCATTTTGCACATGGTGCTACAGTGTGCAGTGTGTGGCGTGCTTACAGCCATGTGCTGAGTGTCCCCTTCTGGTGTCTGTGTCCTGGGGCTGACCTGAAGGACAGGAAGTATAATGGGACTGGGACTCTTGGGGGTGGTCATCATGAGGGGTCCTGCCTGCTCTTGAGGGTAAGAAGGTGACAGAACTAGGAGAGGGGTCACCAGGGAACTAGAACAGGCAGAGCTGCTGGTGGATGAGGTGGGAAAGTCATACCCCAGACCAGATTGATGGGGAGGCTGCAGCTCAGAGCCGCTCACTCCCAGGCAGCCCAGACAAGGGGCTCAACCCACAGACTAATCCAGGCTCCGCTCAGGGCAAGGCTCCTAGTATGCAACCCAGCTTGGCTCCCACCACTCAGGGCCAGGGCGGGGCTGGAGTTCACGTGATCAGGTATCAGCACTTGCATCTGCTGGGGCACAGAACAGAAAGAGGTCACAGACTGAAGCCTATCTGTGTGCAGATGTGTTTTACTTGGCTCACAGTGTTTTTTTTAAGTTAATGTATTTAATCAATTCTACAGCTCACATTTTTTCACATTTGAACATCTCTGAAATCAAGATACATCTTAAAATTACAAATATCTTTAAATTACCATTAGTGGCAACTTGCAGGTATAATTGGCAGGGGTTTTCTTACTCATAGTACATAAAATAATGTCAGGTCTTGCAAATGATGGCATCTTTGATCTAATGAAATGTGATAGTTGCCAACGTTTTTTTAAAGATTAGGAGGTTTCACATAAAAACTTGGATTTTCGCTTCTCGTGGAAAATTGGAAGACTTGTCACACTGGACAGACAGCTGAAAGCTGTCTGGGAGGTAGCTTCCCCTTTAAATGGAACAATGCCCTCCCCAGTTTGCTCCTGTCCCCATTCAACATACTCCAGGTCAACCTGTGAGAGAGGTTCCCCTCAGAGTAACTTCTCCCCACCCAGCTGATGATGGTTACCACTGCTCTTCCTTCTGTGCAGATGTGCCTGGAGAGATGGTGCCCTCGGGGGAGTCAGGTGAGTGTCCAGTTAGGGGAGAGGGGTTGTTGGTGCTAGTGGAAAGGCCTGGGTGTTACCTCTCTCCCCTTCGAGGGCCAGCCTCTGTCAATATATGAACTGTGGGAGACAGGAACTTCCAAGTAACAGCAGGTATAAGAGGGGCCTGGGGCTCTGGCCCTGGAGTCCCTGGATGGCACAAATAGTTAAGCGCTCGACCACTAGCTGAAAGGTTGGTGGTTCGGACCCACCAGAGGCACCTCGGAAGGAAGGCCTGGAGATCTGCTTCCAAAAGATCACAGCCATTGAAAACCCTATGGAAGAGTTCTATTCTGCACACGTGGGGTCACCATGAGTCGAAATTCACTTGATGGCAACTGGTTTGGTTTGCGTTTTTTGGGGGGGTCTGGCCTGGACTCAGCATGAGGCAGGAGCCCCTGGAGATTAGAAAGGAGGTCCAGGTAGGAGGCAAGGGGATTACAACCAGTGATGCTTGGAGAGAAAGATCCCTGGTGGGGGGGGGCTGGAAGATTCAAGCGGGGCCTTTTCATAGGTTGCCTGTGGCGTCTCCCAGAAGAAAGGCCGCTGTTAAGGACCCCAAGCTGATCTGGGCTCTAATATTGTGTTTCTAATTTTCAGGACTCCGGCAGAGAGGCTCTGACCCTGCAAGTGGTAAATACGCAAACTCAAAGAAAAGAGTAGAAGGCAGCCTGGATTCCAGGGGGTGGGTGTGGGATAGGGAAGGCAACAGACAGCCTGAGAGGGTGGGTCTGTGCAGCAGGGATGTGGTCACCAGACAGGGGGTACCGTGATTCAGGATAGGGACCTCCAGGCTCAGGTCTGTGAGGGAAGAGGGCGTTGGTGGGGACCCCAGGGACAGCCAACCCCACCTTTATAGTTTTACTTTGACTGGCCCTGTAGCGAGTACCCTCTGACCCAGGAAGAAGAACCCAGGAGGTCAATTCTCAGTGAGCCAGGGAAGAGAAGCTACTCTTCCTATATCAGGGTTAAACACTTATCTGTCTCTTGTCCTTAAGGAGAAGTGGAGGCCTCTCCGTTAAGAAGAGTGAATATCAAGAAAGATGGTAAGGAAATTAGTGTTTCAAGGCTGCTTATGCCTGTCTGGGGCAGATTTCTGTGGGAAGAAAGTCAGCTAGTGGCCTAGAACAATATATCCCACCCCCGTCATGTGCCCCACATGCCAACTCCTCAGCTTAGAACCACCTGGAAAACGTCACACAGTTATTCCCATTTTGCAGATATAGAAACAGACTCAAGAGTGAGGAGTGGTCTTACAGCTTGTAAGAGGCACGGCCTGAGCTTGACCCCTGCTCCTGTGCACTCTCTGCTACACACAGTCAGTAGGGTGATGAAGGCCCTCCAGGCCTTGTGGCAGGATGGGGTGGGGGCACTAGAAATGGGCCAGGCTGAGGGAGCCATGAGGCCAGACTAGGCTAGACCTTAGAGAAGGAGCCAGGAGAACTGGAGGGACCACCTCTGCTCCAGGCCTGGAAAGATGCGGGGTGGGGGGAGATGACGGTTTGTTTTTGTTTTCAAATACACTTTATATGTAGAGCAATTTTAGATTTACAGTGAAATTGTGCAGAAAGCACAGAGAGTTCCCATTTATCCCCCTCCCCTCTAGACGCTCTTTCGTGTGGTACATTTGTTACAGTTGATGAACCAATATTGACACATTAGTATTAACCATCTAATGTAAACTATTAGGGTTCCCTCTTTGTGTTGTACAGTCCTATAGGTTTTGACATAGTATCATGTGTGCACCATTACAGTATCATAAGAAGAGTTTCACTGCTGTGAAAATGCCCTGTACTCCACCTAGTCATCCCTCCTCCCCTTCCCCAAATCCCTGGCAACTAGTCATCTTTTCACTGTCTCTATAGTTTTGCCTTTTCAGAATGTCATATAGTTGGAATCAAAGAATATGTAGCCTTTTCAGACCGGCTTCTTTCACTCAGCAGAATGCATTTAAGGTTCCTCTGTCTTTTCTAGCTTGATAGCTCATTTATTTTTTATCGCTGAATAATCCTCCATTGTATGGATGTACCAGTTTGTTTATCCATTCACCTATAGAAGGACATTTTGGTTGCTTTCAATGTTTGGCAATTATGAGTAAAGCTGCTATAAACATTTGTGTGCAGGTTTTTGTGCGGACGTAAGTTTTCAATTCATTTGGGTAAATACCTAGGAGCATGATTGCTGGATTGTATGGTAAACCTATGGATAGTTTTGTAAGAAACTGCCAGATTGTTTTCCAAAGTGGCTGTACCATTTTGCATTCTCGCCAGCAATGAATGAGAATGCCTGTTGCTCCACATCCTTGACAGCACTTGACGTCAGTGTTTTAGATTTTATCCATTCTGATAGCCGTATAGTGGTATCTTGTTGTTTTAATTTGCAAATCCCTAATGACACATGATGTTGAGCATCTTTTCTTATATTTATTTGCCATCTGTCTGTCTTCTTTGGTGAGGTGTCTGTTCAGATCTTGTAACTGAGTTGTTTGCTTTCTTACTTGTTGAGTTCTCTGTGTATCTTGGATACAAGTCCTTTATCAGATATGTATTTTGCAGATATTTTCTCCCAGTCTGTGGCTTGTCTTTTCACTCTCTTAAGAGACCAGGTTTTTTATTAAGATGTTCTAGAAACATCTTAAATGGTTGCAAAAACCCCACTTTCCAGGTCTGAGCCACTGATTCTGCTTCTGTCCAGCTGGATAAACCAGGGCTTGCTGATTAACTTTCCTGGATTATAAAGCGAGGTTCGTTGCACTAAAACTGAGATTCCCGAAGTGCAGGCCACGTCCAAGGTGTTTCAGGACATGGCATCATACCACAAAGCAAGAAAGCAACTCCCCTTTCCACACTCTTTCTTAGAGGAGAGTCTTGGTTTGGAGCCCCTGTGCCTTTAATGCCGCCCTGAGCCTTCCTAATTTCCCTTTGGAACGCAGAGAGAGCAAGACTTTCCTGTGTTCCAGAGCCTTCTAGACAAAAGGGTCTGGCTAGAACTTAACCATCTTATTTTATTTTCATTGTGTTTGTTTTTATGACATGGGATCCTAGTTTCCCATTTACTATTGTGACATAAAGTTTCCTTTTTAAAAAGTTTATTTAAGAAAAAAGAAATCTGTTTAAAGAAAAATGTTAGGTAAACAATATTACAGACAGTACTTGGATTCACACAAAACGGTGAGATGGTAAGCAGTGGTACAAGGAGACAGCAAAAATCACAAAGGTGGAGGCGGGTGGGTGACCAAAGTCGGAACAAAGCAGTTTCCCATCCAGATCCCCATCGATCCTCACAGGGACGTAAAGATTGCTCTTCTCATTTTATCAAGAACACTGAGGCTCGGAGGAGTTAGGACACTTGTCCAAGGCCTCACAGCACATCAAGTGGCTGACCTGGACCGAACCTGGACACGTTACCAGCTGCCTCGATACCGCAGACGGGAGCCTGCCTTATTCCAGAGAGCCTTCTCTAAAATGCTCTCTCTGTTTTCTTTTTTTTACAACCTTCTTTGCGTCTCCTCTAATCACAGTCACTTGACTGGCCCCTAAGGAAGCAGGAAAGTTGTGTTCCCCCCCAGGACCTCCACAGTGCCTGGCTAAGTGTGGGGAGGCCTCCTTTAAGACAGCCCCTTAATTCCTGCCCCAGGCACAGGCCCTGCCTCTCCTCTCCTTCCCATACCTCTGTTAACTATGTGAACTCTTCTAAGCCTGCAATTCCACTTATAGGCATCGGGCCTCCAGAAATAGCACACAGGTGCACAGAAGTTCACTTCTAGTGATGTCTGTGCAGCCTCAGTGGTAACAGGGAAAAAACTGGACACCTCTAGTGCCCTGGAAGGAGCCCTGGTGGCACAATGGTTAAGTGCTTGGCTGCTAACCAGAAGGTTGGCAGTTTGAACCCACCAGCAGCTCAGTGGGAGAAAGACCTAGAGATCTGCTCTCCTAAAGATCACAGCCTAGGAAACCCTATGGGACGGTTCTGCTCTGTCCTATAGGATCGCTATGAATCGAAATCAACTTGATGGCACACAACAACAGGTGCCCTGGAGGCACAAATAGTTAAGTGCTTGTCTGCTCACCTAAAGATTGGAGATTCGAAACTAGCCAGAGGGAGAAAGCCATGGCAATCCCTTCCGTAAAGATTGCAGCCAAGAAAGCCCTGTGGAGCAGTTCTACTCTGTAACACACAGGGACTCCCTGAGTTGGAATCAGCTTGAGGGCAACTAACAACAACAACAACAGTTACACAAATGGATGTTGTCATTAGCTGCTGTCAGCTTAGCTCCGGCTCAAGGAGACCCCAAGCACAACAGAATGAAATGCTGCTTGGTCCTGGGCCATCCCCATGATCGGTTGCGGATCAAACTGTTGTGATCCATAGGGTTGTTATTGGCTGATTTTCAGAAGTAGATTGCCAAGCCTTTCTTCCTAGTCTGTCTTAGTCCAGAAGCTCCACTGAAACTTGTTCAGCATCATAGCCACACACAAACCCTGCTGACGGATGGGTAGTGACTACCCTTGAGGTGCATTGGCTGGGAATCGAACACAGGTCTCCTGCGTGGAAGGCTAGAGTTCTACCACTGAATCACCACTGCCCTCACATCAGTGGCAGACCAGTTAAATAAATTAGGTAAATTTATATACTACAGAAGAGTAGGCAACCATGGCAAAGAAGAAGGCAAATCTCCGTACTCTGAGGTGGAAAGATGACCCAGTCTGTCAACAAAAGGAAAAAAGCAAACTGCAAAGCAGCAGGTATACAGATTGGTCCCGTTTTTTGATTCAAAAATTCAAGTAAGTATGCCTGGAAAGGTTTTGCCAATCACCTCTCACTTTTAGGAGTGAGATTGGGAGGGAGACTTGGCACCATGAGACGTCTAATTTACAATGGTCACATTTGCATTTTTTTACAGTTGGGTTTAACATTCATTCCACAAATAAAGTATTGAGCATCCCTGAGTGCCAGCCCTGCTCTAGTCTCTGGCATCCGGACAGGAGCAGACAGGCTGAAATCCCCGCCCACGGAGGAGGTGGCCTCCCACTGGGAAAGACAGAAAATAAGCACAGAAACGAAAATAAAATACGTTGTGTGGTGATAAGCGTTACGAAAATAATTAAGTGAGATAAGGGCTGGAAAGTGGTGGGGCCTGGCTGCTATTTTGGTTTGGGGATCAGGGGCAGCGTCCTGAATAAAGTTATATTTGAGTAGAGACCCGAATACGTTTTGTAATTGAGAAAGAGAACTAAACAAATAGTAATCCCTCGCCTCTGCTTTTACAGACGAGTTTTTCCATTTCGTCCTCCTCTGCTTTGCCATCGGGGCTTTGCTGGTGTGTTATCACTACTACGCAGGTGAGCAGGGGGTTCTGGGGGTGCCACAGTGGGGAGAGGCGCCCGGCTGGGGGGTTTGGCGGGGGGAGGAGGTGGCACGGAGGGGGAGCAGCTGCACCGGGGCAGGGATGGCATGGGGGAGGAGAGGCGGGGAGGGGGAGCAGGGCGACAGGGGTAGAAGGCTGACATGGGGGAGAGAGTGGCACGGGGAGGGGGCGGGCAGCGACACAGGGGAAAGATGGCATGGGGAAATGGGAAGTGAGAGAGGCGCAGCATGGGGGACCTGGCACAGAGAGCAGGGAGCAGTACCAGGAGGGCTGGGAGCACGGGGTGAGGGGTGGCATTGGGGAGGGGCAGGCAGACCCGCTGGCTGACCATCCTCTCCCCTGGCTTTCCTTCCAGACTGGTTTATTTCCTTTGGGGTCAGCCTGCTCACCTTTGCCTCCCTGGAGACCATTGGCATCTACTTTGGGCTGCGTAAGACCTACCCACAGCGTCTTGGCCGGGGTGGCTGGACTGGTCAGGGTGCTTGCCAGGGACCAGAGAGTGGTCATGACCTAAACATTTTTTTAAATGTCATTATGCTCATGTTTTCTTTCTGACCACTTCCAAGGTCAATGTGAGATAATTGGCCAAACCCAGTGGAAAAATTAGGCAGCTCCATAAAAATGCAACACAAACAGTTTAAAGTGGCAAACAGAATGAGCCAGATGCCTAAAATGAGCTATTTAATGGGACTGGGTGCTGAATTCAGCCGTGTTCCCTGACATTGTTATTATGGTCCATTGTTTTTAATAATAATAACTATCGCTATTATCTAAGCTCAACCTGCTGCCTGAAATTCCACCATTAGAGCTTTGTTTGTGTGGGTTAGGCTTTTGTCCAGGGTGGGCAAGTGGAAGCATCTGGCCCCATATCACTTGAGGGGCACAAACCTCAACTCCCCTTTCTCTTTTGTCTTTGAACAGTGTACCGGATCCACGATGTCCTGCAAGGCTTCATCCCCCTCCTTCAGAAGTTCAAGCTGTTGGGTAACTTGAAAATTTTTCCTGTGTTCACTCTTTCTCTCCCTATCAGAGTCTTCTGTTTTGAACGAGGCTTAGCAGGAAAGAGCACAAGGTCTGGAGTTAGGGCCCTGCATTCAAGTCTTGCCTCGGCCAATTTACCAGTTCTCTGACCTGGATAGGCCCTGTAGCTTCCTCCAGGCTCAGTTTCTTCAACTGGAAAACGGGTGTAATAATACCTACTGCATAAGGGTGTTGTGAACATCAAATGAGGAAGGGATGCAAAAGTCCTTAACTGTGAGACACGGTGTAGAAATGATGAGAGTCTGACTATTCCTCATTCTCTCATACTTTACACGTTTCCAAACACTATTTTCTCCGTGATTTTATTTGCCTAATAGCAACTGGGGAGATGGCTATAGTTTGCTTATACTTACCTAATGAGGAAACAGAAACTCAAAGAGGTGAGTGACTTGCCCAGGGTAACACAGCTAGAGTAGCTGAGCTGGGCAAAAGTAGATCCTCTTTCTTGACCTGTAGCACGGTGCCCACCACCGTGCCTCAAAACAGAAAGCCCAGGTGGCTGCGTGTCTCTGTGCTGAGGCAATACCTGTATGTCACCAAGTCATCAAGCCAACTCCCTCTGTCTCCTTAAACCCATTTAATTAGTAAAGGGGAAAATAGCTATAATGGCTGTGGGCCATGGAGACCCAGGGCCTCTGGACTGGCTGTATCATTCCAACTGTGAGCGGGTGTTTGGGCATCTGGGAGTGTGGGACCGAGGCCTGGCTCCCTTCAGAATCCTATGCCATCCTTCGGCTTTGCCTTCCAGGGTTTAGGAGGACTGACTGAGGCCAGTGCTGGGCAGGCAGCTGGACCAGGCCCCAGTCTGATCGCCACTGCATCACCTGAGCCCACGAGGACGGAGCAATGGAGCAATATATGGGAGCCGTGCGGGCAGGACAAGCTATAGCAATAAAGAGAGTGCTTTTCCTACTAAGTGGTGTTAACGTTGGCTCTGGCCTGGGGCTGGGACATCATTTGGGCAGTGTTGGCCTGTAACCCAGCGGTCTGGAGGGAAGGCAGAAGGGGGGTGGCGGTGCCTGAGCCCTTCCCAGTATCTGGATTAGCAGGAGGACTCTGGGATGTCCCTTCTTTCTGGAGACAGTAGGAGACCCCTAGGCCCTGCAAGCTGTAATCTGTCTGGGCTCATGGTTTCTCTCAAATCCCCAGTCCATCTCTGTGGGCTTTAGGTCCTATACAGCCATCCCAGGACAGACAGACAGTCCACTGCCCTGAGACATGGAGTCACCAGGCCAGGCCCCCCGGGTGACCCTGATGCAGGTGAGGTGTTGCAGACTAGAGTCACAACATCCAGGCATCTTCCCTCAGCCCCGCCACCCAGCACCAGCTTCACTGCCTAAACTCCATCAAGATTCAAATAAACATTCTCTTCCCTGGACTAAAGAGGGTCAGCTAAATATTCCTTTGAGTTTCTTGAGCATGAGGACACATTGACCCCATCTAGTCAGGGAGGACACTTTGTCCTACTGGATAAAGTATAAAAGAGGATAAATGTAAAGCCCTTCACTTTAGGTCTAAGATTTCAGTTGCACAGGTTCAGAATCGAAGACAGGGCTTTCCAAACATTCCTGTGAAAGAGATCTGGGCTGATAGGTATTCTTAGCTCAACAAATACCAAGACTGATATAAGGGCGCAAAACAAAACCCATTGCACATTTGGGTTGCATTAATAGAGTTATAGAGTCTAGATTGAAGGAGGTGATAGTAGGTCCTCCTTGCACTGCCCAAGCCACACCTATAGCATGTGTTCAGTTCTAGACTTACATATCAAGAGGGACAAGGACAAGCTAGAGAACACACAGAAGACAAGACCAGAGTGGGAGTATAAAAAATGATTAAAGAAATGAAAACTCTTCAACCAGCAGAAGAGAAAAATGAGGGACTTCCTTGAGCTCATAGACGCTTGGAGGATGCTTTCTCAAGTGTGTACGGTGGCCCAGGCACTTTCACATATGTTATCTGATTTAATTCTCACAGCGGGCTTGAGATGTGGGATCATCCCCGATTTACAGATGGGGAAACAGAGGCTCAAAGAGACTCTTAGTAACGTGCTCAAGTTCACACAGCAAGTAAATGGCAGAGCTGCAATTGAATCCAAGCCTGAGTTCACCTTATACCAAGCTGCCTTATAGAGCTTTGCTAGTCCAGTCCCCCACCCCAGGCATAGCGTCCATCCCTGAGGGAGCTAGAGTGGACCAATGGTTCCCAAAACCAAAAAAACCAAACCCATTGCCATTGAGTCGACTCCGCCTCATAGCAACCCTACAGGACACAATAGAACTGCTCGAGACCTATAGAATTTTTTTAAGTTAAGGAAGGGACCCCCACAACATGAGGGCTACCACTGAGGACAATAGAAACAACAACAAACATCTCCTACTATCAGCCCCATTTTATAAAAGAAAGATCACTTTTGCACCAAGAAAAGGTAGAAAAATTAGATCAGAAACAAAATGGAGTTGAAAATTGAATAAATTAGTCTTATGAAAATCTTACTACGTGTCCGTATTTTGCTCAAATCACTGTGGTCTGGTGAAAAATTTATCTTTTGGAAACCGTGAGACTAGAGAATTCCTAAGAACTTTTACGTTGTCTTATTTCTGGGGTTTTCCAACCTCAGCTCTCACACGTCTAGTGACAAAGGGCTTATTACCTCCCAAAGCAACTCGTACAAGAATGTTTTACTCTTGTTCTAAGACAACGTTCTGAATGATGCTTTAGGAATTCCCTCGGAAGAGTAAAGAGTTCTTGAGTTCCTGCTGTTGTGTGTTGCATTTCGTCAACACTCAGCTCTTGGTGCAGCGCTAACATCAAAGCCTGGGGCACCAGGTCTGACTAGAGGCTCCTCTTCTCCGTGGGCCAGTCAGTTGTCGTGTCTCTGCTGGACCTCCTAGGGAGAAGCGGAGTCCAGTGAGCTCTATGCCACAGGGGGAAATGAGACAGACAAACCTGCAGGCCTTGGTGAACGGAGGCATGGACTGGGAAGGAAAGAAACAGGAACCCTAGGACCTCATTGTGTGCTTTTAAAAAGGAGGAGCCCTCGCAAAAGGTGAATTACTTCAGACTCCTCTTGGAGGTGAGTCACAGGCCCGAAGAAGGTGCTTGGCTTAGCTGTGAAATTAGGGCTGGTTTCAGTCCCTACCCATCCCCTGGCTGGGCCTCCTTGTGCCGTAAAAACAACCTGCACAGCCTTATTCGGAAGCCCTGACGCCTAATGATGTTGAACGTCTTCGTGAGCTTAGTGGCCGTTCATATATCTTCTTTGGAGAAATGCCTGTTTAGATCCTTTCCCCATTTTTTAAGTTGGGTTGTTTTGTTGTTAAGAGTTCTTTATATATTCTAGATATAAGCCCCTTACCAGATTCATGATTTGCATTATTTTCTCTGATTCTGTGGGTTGTTTTTTCACTTTCTTGATGGTATCCTTTGAAGCACAAAAGTTTTTAATTTTGATAAAGTCCAATTTATGGGTTTTTTTTGTTTGTTTGTGTTTTTAGTGTCATAGCTAAGGAACTATTACCTAATCTAAAGTCGTAAAGATTTACATCTATGTTTTCTTCTAAGAATTTTATAGTTTTATTTAGCTCTTATGTTTAGTTCTTTGATCTATTTTGAATTAATTTTTGTGTATGGCGTGAGGTAGAAGTTCAACTTCATTCTTTTGCACGTGGAGATCCAGGTGTCCCAGCGCTGTTTGTTGAGAAGAGTATTCTTTCTCCATTTAATTATCTTGGCACCCTTGTTGAAAATCAGTTAGGCATAAATATGAGAGTTTATTTCTAGACTCTTATTTCTATTCCATTGTTCTATGTGTCTATCTTTATGCCAGTACCATAGTGTCTTGATTACTGTAGCTTTGTAGAAAGCTTTAAAATCAGGAGCTGTGAGTCCTCCAACTTTTTTCTGCTTTTTCAGAACTGCTTTAGCTATTCTAGGTCTCTTGCATTTCCATACAAATCTTTTAAGATTAATTTGTCAAATTCTGCAAAGAAGCCAGTGGGAATTTTCATGACATTATATTGAATCTGTAAATCAACTTGGGGGAGTATTGTGCTTCTTTTTAATGATTTATCATTTTTTTATATTTTCGTTAGGGGAAAACAAAAGTCCCAAATCAAACACAGTTAATGTTTTGGCATGTTTCCTATGAGTCTTTTTAGTGCGTGAGTTCATTTGTTTTTATTTTGTGCCCGTTTTTTCTTTCACATGTAATAAACATTTTGCCATTACTAGATACTCTCCGTAGCTTCATTTCTAACCATTGTATATATCAGGATTTGCTTAATAATCCCTTATGCTGAGGTAATAATATTAGTATTTATTTATTCAGTACTCCTTACATGGCTTTACACACATGGGTCTTTTAATCCTCCCCATAACCCTGTGAGGGAACATCTGTCGTGTTCTCCATTTTACAGATGAGGAAACTGAGACACAGAAAGGTAGTTTCTGAGATTTTAATTTCAACAACTTGTGTATGACTTTCTTCTAAAGAGAGCCTGGAGTGTAATCGGATATTTATCAAACAAATAAAACACAAGGTTTCACAATGGAAATATGAACTTGCTGACTTGATGGCAATTTGATTAGCCTCTATTTACAGAAGTGGTAGGTCCCTGGGCCCGGCTCTGCCACTGCCTGGCTGTGACTTTGAACAAGTCCTTCCTTCTCTGAGCCTCAGTTTTTTTCATCTGTACGATGGGGATCACAGCAGCACCCACCTCACAGTGTTGTGGTGAAGATTACATAGATAATTATATAAAGTCTTATACATAGTCTTTGGCACCTTAGTAGGTACTCAGTCAGTGAGAGTTATTTTATTAGAGCAGGGATCACAAATCAGACGCCCTTAGGGTCAGGCAGGCAATGTAAATGAATGATGTCAACCAGATATAGAAAAGTAGGAGGTTGAGGAGAGGGGAACAGGAGTGACTGTCTCCGACCAAAGGGGCAACTACTGTTCAATGTAGCCAGGCAGGAATACTTGCTCAGTGGTATCAGTCAGAGGTCTGTCAGGAAAGCAGAAACCACACCAGGTATTTTAACAGAGAGAATTTACTATAGGGGAATTTGTTAAACAGGTACCAAGTCCAGTTGCCGTCAAGTCGACTCTGACTCATGGTGATCACATGTGTGTCAGAGTAGAACTGTGTTCCATGGGGTTTTCAATAGCTGATTTTTCAGAAGTAAATTGCCAGGTCTTTCTTCGGAGGCAACTCTGGGTGGACTTGAACCTCCAATCCTTCAGTTAGCAGCCAAATACTTAACTGTTTGTACCGCCCAGGGACTCCTAAATAGATACAAGAGGATGGAAAAGGCAAATAGGGACCACTGAAGTATCACAAAGAGAGTAACTGAGGGAAGCTTTAGTACCCTTGGGGCCAGGGGAACAGAGGAAAGAGGTTGGAGTTATTAGAACCTAGACACTTGGTAGAGGGCCGTACGGAGCAGGAATCGGTGCTCTGAAGAGGGAGTGCTGCCCAGCTAGTGTTGGTCTCTCAGACGGGCGTGATCACGCTGGTTCTACCAGTGATGTCAGCCTGCCTATTTTTCAGCAGAAGCCAGAAATCAGATTTTTTTTTTTTTAATATTGGCAATTCATTTTTAAAATTAAAAAGCAAAGTGACATCTTTGTATATACCATGGACTGCCAGAAGAATGAACAAATCTGTCTTAGAAGAAGTACAGCCAGAACGTTCCTTAGAAGCTAGGAGGGCGAGACTTTGGTTCACTCACTTTAGATACATCATCAGGAGAAACCAACTCTAGAAAACAACATCATGGTTGGTAGAGGATCAGTGAAAATGAGGGAGCCCGTCGGTGAGATGGGCGGAGACAATGGCTACAACAATGGACTCAGACATACCAATGATCATGAAAATGGTGCAGGGCC